AAATTTGATATTAAAAATAATTAATAACTAACACATATATAAATATAATATAAAAATTCAGAAATAAAAATAAATAATATTGGAAGAAGAGCATAAAGTCTATATAGAAATACAATTTACAAAAAAATCGGAATTAAATTTTTTTAAAAGACGAGTCTAAAGTCCATATAGGAATATATATAATTTACAAATAACTAAAATTTGATATTAAAAATAATTAATAACTAACATGTATATAAAATATAATATGAATATTACACATTAGTAGTTTTGTAAAGTTATTGCAAAATTTAAAATTATGTTGTCATTTTAATATATTTGAATAATATAATGAGAAAACATATATGCTATTACATGAGAGAAAATATAATGATGCTAGCCGCGCAATCTGCGAGGGCCACTATGCTAGTTATTATTAAAGGAATAGAAAATAGAGCCTTCACGGCCGCTCTCATGGCCTAGAAATTCTCATATTAATCGGAGAAAAATAAAAAGCAGAGTCCATATACAAATACAATTTAGAAATAGCTGAAATTCGGAATTAAAAAATAAGGAATATTAGAATAGGAGACTAGAGTACATATAGAAATACAATTTAGAAATAATTGAAATTCGGAATTAAAAAATAAAGAATATTAGAAGAGGAGACTAGAGTCCATATAGAAATACAATTAGGAAATAACTGAAATTCGTAATTAAAAATAAGGAATATTAGAAGTAGAGTATATAGTCCATATAGGAATACAATTTAGAAGTAACTGAAATTCGAAATTAAAAAATTAAAGAATATTGAAAGATGAGTTTAAAGTCCACATAGAAATACAATTAGAAATAATAAAAATTCAGAAATAAAAATAAATAATATTGGAAGAAGAGCATAGAGTCTATATAGAACTACAATTTACAGAAAATTCGGAATTAAAAAAATAAATATTAAAAGACGAGTCTAGAGTCCAGATAGGAATATATATAATTTACGAATAACTAAAATTTGATATTAAAAATAATTAATAACTAGCACATATATAAAATATAATATGAATATTACACATTAGTAGTTTTATAAAGTTAGTGCAAAATTTAAAATTATGTTGTCATTTTAATATATTTGAATAATATAATGAGAAAACATATATGCTATTATATGAGAGAAAATATAATGATGCTAGCCGTGCAATATGCGCGGACCACCATGCTTGTTATTAATATAACTCCTAGTAATGTTCATGGTGGCGCCAATACACGTAAATGCGCGCGCGATGCAGGATTGTTGCAAGGGAATGGCTAGGTTTTAATTTGTTTGGCTAATTGATTCACTCGCTGCACACGCCCATATATATACTGACCATTGCCCCCAACTCGGAAATGTACAGATGTGTGGTCTCATTTGCTTGAGTACTAGGACAAATATATATATATATATATATATATATATATATATATATATATATATATAGTCGATGGTGGTCTTAAAGAACTGTCTATGAAAAATTGCGAGATTGCTACCTGGCGATCGATCGTCAGGGGCGATCAGATTTCCTCCACCTGGTTTGCTTTTTTGATACCGCATGTATTACTTTTCTATTTTAGTAAATTTATGCACCTAAAGTTTGTACACCTCAAGTTTACATATCTAAAGTTTAGAGACCCAAAGTTTATAAATCAAAAGCTTATATATCCGATTCAAATTTGAATTTGAATTCAAATATTTTATATATATAGTATTTCTATACATCTAAAGTTTATACACCTAAATTTTATAGACCCAAATTTTATAAGTCAAAAGTTTATATACTCGATTCAAATTTGAATTTGAATTCAAATATTATATATATATATATATATATAGTATGTTTGTACATAAATTTTCCCAACTCTGTTTTTTTTTTTTTAAATTTACGGTGTAGAAGGAAGAGAAGGGGAGGAGGAAGGGGGAGAGGAGTGTATAGGGGTGGATGGGGATAAGCGATCGATCGCCCATTAGCCAGGCCTGAAAAATTGTGACATCCTGGCACAATTAGGATGAGGCATGTATAGCCCATGAGAGCTGTGTGCGCATGTTTAGCATCACCTTGCAAGTTTAGCACGAGTGGAACCAATTTATAAGGCATCTTCCCTTCAACCATATTACTTCCGGGTTAACCCTTTTATACGAAGCGAGAACGAAAAGTGGATTGGTATGTGTAAGTTGGCTCGCTCGTCGGTTGAGCTGGGCTGCACAGTTCTGGAGGGAGGCCTATCACAACAATGCATTTTGGCAAATGGTTTCTTCACGGTGATTACAATTTTGTTTCGAAAATAACCCCCCACCCCCCTCTCCCCGGCCCTAGGCAAGCAAATATCTCAGCCAAAAGTTTTCGGTTTTTTTCCAACTTTTTTGAATTTGGTCAAAGTTTATTCAAATTTAGTCAAAATAAAATTTGCTAAAATTTCAAATAATTCCGTGCAAAAAAAAGTATGACAATTCCTGAAATCTTCGGAAATTTTGTTCTCCCACCTGTCTATAATATAAATAGCTTATTTTCTCAGACCGTACTACTGGCGTCTCGGTAAACCTCCATTTAAAATGGGGGTTATTTACCAGCCTCAATTTGTCATCGACCCGTATCGTATTATAGTGGTCCTCATGTGTTTTTCTTGAAAAAGAAGTGATTGTTAATTGCTTCGAGCACAATTCCGGATCTTTATCCAGCATTAATTCCTTCCCTAAAAGTCTTTCCATATGTTTTGTTCTACCTTAGCTTCATCTTGTAGCCATCACCGTGCCCCTCTTTGATAGTAGTCTTCTTTAACAATTCCCGGCCTAAACTTCAACATATGAATGCTGTTATTTTTTTAATATTTTTGATAACTATTTCGATGATTTTTTAAATAAATAAGGGACACCATCCGAACAGTTTCCCCAACATGCACTACATATTCAGCATTTTCTTACTCGAGTGTTTGTTTCAGGGCTTTCCCCCTCCTTAAATTTTTGTGATCGATCGATCCATACTTTAGTGGTCCTCGTGTGTATTCTCGAAAAGAGAAAAGGAGGAGGTTATTTTTTTTCCTTTTGCGAAGGATAAAAGAGGGGATTGCTATTTGCTTGGAGCTCAATCCAGATCTTCAAGCAGACTGCAGCATTATACCTTCCCGAAAGTCTCTTCATATGTTTTGCTCCATCACTTCTATTACCTCCGTTATATGTTATATATTATAAGTTGTTTGGATTTTTTTTTCTTGTCAAACTCTATAATTTTATAGAAAAAATACATAAATACTTTTCGTCCAAACATATTATAAAATATATTTAATATTACATTTAATGAAATTTAGTGTTGTAGAAATTGCTAAATTTTTCTATAAATTTAGTCGAATCTATTGAAGTTTGACTAGAAAAAAAATCCAAACAACTTATAATATCAAACGGAGGGAGTATTTGCTACCAGTAGTCTTCTTTTTACAATTCCGGCGTGAAATCCACAAAAGTTAGCATCAACGAAACAAAAGCGTCTTCAGCAAATTTAAACAGGCTGTATAGTGTTCTTTCTTTCAAAAAAGGAAAAAAAGAAAATAAAAGAAAAGGTTCTGCAAGAGTAAAGCAACAAAGTTAAAGGAAAACGTACACCGAAGATCTCTCAACTTGTCATCAAGTTACAAAATCGTTCTTGAACCGCAAAACCAAATACAGCGGATAACCCAACTTACGAAACCAGGACAAACTAAGTCCCTTGGCGGTTTTGACTCTGGTTTTGCCTAATGTGGCAGCTCAGCATGGTACCCACGTGACCCCACACGTCAGCCTCTTCTTTCCCTCCCCTCTCCATGTTTCTTCCTCGCTCCTCTTCGCTCTCCTCCCCTCTTCTCTGTATCTATCCGCGTCACAAAGCCGGCGGGATGGAGCGGGGCGGCGGCGGCGGGCGGAGTGGGGCGACGGCGAGGCGTAGCAGTGGCGCACGAAGCCGGCGAGGCGGTGGTGGGCTGGGGAAGGCAGGTGGAATGGGGTGACGGCAGGTAGGGCGGAGCGGAGTAGCGGTGAGCGGAGCAGCCAAGCGGAGTGGGACGACGGCGCGCGAAGCCGACGGTGGGCGGACCAGGTAGGTGAAGAGGGGCGACGGTGGGCAGAGCGGCAGCGCTCGAAGCCGACGACGTGGAGCGAGGCGGTGGTGGGCGGAGTAGATAGGCCTGCAAGGCGGTGGCACGCGAAGCTGGCGGCGCGGAGCGGGGCAGTGGTGGACAACGACGATGATGGCGACGGGTTCGAGGAGAAGGAGGAGGACGCGCGCCACATCTTGCTCTTCCGCGTCTCCTCCATCTTTGCGCCGCCCTTCGACCTTGATGGCGTCCTTGCCATGGGCGGCGGCTCTCCACGCTATCCCCTCGCCATGGGCAGAAGAAGTGCGACCCACCCCCGCGCGCAGCTACTCCCCCACCACTTGCGTGCCGCTCCTTCACCGGCAGAGGCTCGCGCACAGCTCCTCTCTCGCCGCCTACCCGGTGTTGTACCTCATGACGTCGGACACCCATCTACCCATCAATGACATGCTGCGCACAAGCCACCTCTTAGGCATCGACACCTTGGGGCTCTTGGCGACGACGCTGCCCCGGCGCGCCTCCTCGGCGCGGGCGTCGCGCCACTGCCTGGCCATGTACTCCTTGACGGCGCTGACGCCGCCAGCCACCACCTCCTTGGGCGGCACGCGAGCGGGTTCTGGTAGATACACAGAAGAGAGGGGATGAGAGAGGAGAGAGGAAGAAAGGTGGAGAGGGGAGGGAAAAAAGAGGCTGACATGTGGGACCCGCGTAGGTCTACGCTGAGTTTACACTGGTTCTGTAAGTTGGAGGATGCGTTGTATCTAGTTTTGCGATTAAGGACGATTTTGTAACTCGATGATAAGTTGAGAGACCTTCGATGTACTTTTTCCCAAATTGAAACGCGCTGCACAAATAGACCCATGTTTTATTTAGGCCCAATTTATAAGGCCCATCAAGCAACGTAACTTCCAGTCCAAATCCCTATTATCCACGGCCTCTCCATCTCCACCTGAAAGGCTCAAACCCAAAAAGCCCACCAACCTCTGCGTCCCCGTCGCCGGCGACCACCACCATGTGCGCCGCCGCCGCCGCAGCCGCCACCGCGGGGATCATCTCACCGCCTACACCTAGTCTCCTCTGGGCGAACACCAGGGCCACCTTCGTCTCCTTCCCGCGGCGATCGCCTCCCACGACCTCCCTCCTCTCGGCCTCCTCCGCCCCGGCCCCCGCCCCGCCGTCGGCCAACCCCAAGTACCACAACGCGAAGGTGAACGCGGGCGACGAGGAGGTGGACGGGGAGGAGCTGCTTCAGCGGTTCAGGCGGGAGGTGGCCCGTGCGGGAGTCATGGAGGAGATCAGGTGGCGGCGGAGGCACGAGGACGCCCGGGACAAGCGCAAGCGCAAGGCCCGCTCCGCCGCCCGGAGGTTTCGCCGGAGGTGAGGCCCTCGTCGTTCCATCGGTCGATTGCTTCCGTGATCCCGCCTTACGCCCGATCAAAGTTGATCCTATTATTTTCTCTCCCCATTTCGTCGGCTGCAGATTAGCTGCTGCCTTCTACTGTTGTTGAATGTTGGTGATTCATTTCATGTGCTCACTATTTTAGGCCCTAATTAATCGTGCGATTTCTGCCAGCGTCATGAAATCTCCTTGATCTGTTCTAATATTGGGCACCTGCATCGGAAAACTATAATCAATTAATCATAGCCTGTTTGAGCTCCATTTTAGGCCCATTTGATATTTCAGTGACTGATTTCACTTGTTACAAGAATGCAATGCTGCCTCTTTAGCGGTGAATTTTTGTCTTATATTGCTATAATACATCGAGCATATGTGAATATTATTAGCATTTCAGCACTCTGATGCTACTGATTGTCATGCTCCTCTGAATGTGGTCATTGGACTGTACGACCATCTTGCAAATTCATTGTCATTAGCATTTCAGTCCTGAATGAAAGCAATTGAGCTTATGAGATGATCCCCTTTTCTTAGCAAGAAAGATGGTCCTGTGTTTTTGTTAGGATATCCACCAGTAGTTTCTTTTTATGCGATGATCGCATTGCTTCTATCCTAGCCTTGGACATATTGATCCAATTCTCAGCCATGAATTCATCATGGCAAACGTGTATTCCCATGTAGAGATAACTAGGAGCTGACAAATTGACCATCGATTGTACATTACAGTAGCATACTTTTGACATTTAGAATGTGTAGCATGAGGAGTCATCCATGATTATGCTTTGTACTTTCCTCTTGAGTTCATTTTGTTTGTCACAATGTCACATGCCTTTTCTATAATTGGTCCTATCATTTCTACTGCAGGCATTTCAAGGGTCCGTACCCATTTGGTGACGAGCAGGAACCAAAGGAGGGGATCATGGAGGATGATAAGCATGACAATTGGGAGCTTCCTGGAGGAGAGCTCCCTTCTTACAGATGAACCGATAAATGACATTGATGTTCTTTTGGAGCTCGCTTCTTACAGATGAACTTAAAAATGGCACTGATGTTTTCTGTCTGACGAAGGATTTCGATTCTTCAACTTCAGTTCCTCTTTCTTCTTCAGCAGTAGAGTGAACTTACCCAACACAACCCTAGTTGATCTGTGACCAATATTTAGTGAACTTGCATTTCTAGGTGTAAGGTATAGTTGTTATGTGGCAAAATACCTAGTCTGAACCGATTCCTCTGTTGTGTGTTAATTGCCAATTTGCTTCATGTGCCTTTGCCTTTTTCTCTGCTTAACTTCTGATCCTGCTAGTGCTGCTGGTGACTTACAAATTGCAGTGAAGTGATGTTGGTTTATACTATTACATGAAGTACAGCTCTTATTATTTTCTTGGATTATAACACATAGCTAATGGGCCAAATTCAGTGACCCCAAAGTTGGTAGGATTTGGGGCTCGAAAAGTCTACATTGCGAAATTGTGTGGACAAGTACTGCAAATAATTGAGATTTGATCATCATCTTGTTGTACTAATTGTGAAGTGCACGCTTGTGATGGACAGAACGACATGGAGAAAACGATAAAGAAGAGGAAAGGAGAACGAACAGGAAGTCTCGTGGCCTATCCCCATATGCATACCATATTGCCACGCATATTCCGGCATTATTAGGCAAATGATTGGGACTTCGATTATTCTTGTTATTTCTCCTGTTCTTTTTTCGTTGTCTTTTTGGGTTGAGCTGGCAAATATACAGTTGCTCAATAGTTTACTTGCAGAAAGCTCGAATGCTCCAGCACATCAACAGAAAGCTCAGATTGCTTCTGGAATTAATGTCAGCAACGCTGCATCCGAATGCCTAACTGTGGACCCACCACTCTACCTGTATTTCTTCTTCCTCTCTCTTTTTTTTCCTTCCTTTTTTGATGTCAATTCTCATCATCTTTTTTTTTTGTTTGTTGCTTTTGTTCTGTGATTCTCTGTTGGTAAGAAAGAAAGGATTCTTTTATCAGGTCAGTGAGAATGGATATGTTTACTGTTTCTTCAGAATTACTGCGAGATTAAGATTACCAGATCATTAGGTAATCCTAGGAAGGTGCCTGCAGAATGGTGGAACGATTTAAATGTGCCCCTTGCATGAGTGCGACCCATGACGTTCTTGATCAGTTGGCCTTGGATGTTGAGTTCATAACCGACAGCAGCTGAAGAAACTCAATATATATAATATAAATAAGAAGCCGTTGTATCCTTTGATTGCCCAACCATTTCCAGTCAACGTTTTCAGACAGCTGACAATTTTTTTAAATGATCCGAACAAGATAGTACGACCTTTTATATTGATATAGCATAAAAAATTATAAAATCATAGCGCCAGCTGATAAACGAGAAACTTTTAGATGATCAATGCATTTGCCAAGAACTTGCATTGCATAGACGGTAACCTAATGGATCAAATTTTTCAGGGAGACAAGAACCAATTGTACAGGAACGGGCCTGTACAATAGTACAGTACGCGGTATGGATCCAGCTGCCCTGCATCTAAATCTGAAGCCCCATCATCATCCAATATGCAGTGAGGCACAATGCAACAGAATTTCCAGAGCTACTACACACTGGAATGAAATGAGCCAACCAATTCAGGGTGCAAAGTGGAGGATTTTGCTCTGCATGCCAGAGAGACAAGCAAAGGTGTGCCAGCTTATTACCTGCCAGAAATTCAGGCACTGTTGTCCACTGCATGAAGATTTCAAGGTCCGACTTAGCAACAGCATTATCATAGCAGCTCACATGTCTCCATACATTCATTGTCATGATAGTATACATATGGGCATTATACTATTACTATTATACTATTATACATTTATACTGATGGGGTACCAAACTGCCAAATCACTGGCCAAATGTGTGTACTTTATTCTTTCAGTCTTTCTCAGTTCTACTATGAGTTATCTTCAGATAGCAACATCACCAGAAGGCACCAAACCAATCCACACTTGCCAGCTTTAAGTATTGTTGTCCATAGCTTTTTTTCTTGATTAGTACAGCAAAACTAACATTAATTTGTGGGTTAGAGGATAGGAAATTAAAAAGGCCATGTCTGTTTGCTTCATTTGCTCTGACTAAACTATGTGCAAGCCTATCCTGATAAATTTATGGATACTAGTAAAATAAAGATCTGGGACCTTCGAGGAAGACAAGGACATCCTGTCAAGGAACTTTAGATAATTAACAAGAAGGGAGTACAATAAGTTAAAGAGGGAAAGAGACCTAGGATTTATCCAGTGAGTGCTTGTATGTGCCAGATTAAGTTAACCTAACCATGAAAGTTCAGTAATGAAAGATGGTTGAGAGAGTGACCTGGATGTTGATGCAGTCTCTTCAGATACGTTTCCACCAGCTTTAGTGAAAATAGCCTGTATGACATAAGAAGAATACATTCCCAAAGCTACTACATATAAAGATGCTAGAGATAAAGTAGTCATGATGTAAATATAAAGTAAAAAAATCAAAAGAAAGCAGGCAGCATAGATTACCCGGGTATGATTTTTCCCTGGAAAAGCCAAATATGCTTCCAGGACCACATCAAAGGAAGGTGTACCATCCTTGTCTGCATCACAAACGGCCAGTTAACCAGCTCGTGGTTACTGAACTCGGTTGTAGCCTTCTTCACAACGATTTTGTTTGCATTGTCAGATAGGTGAACAACTGAACAGGCACTGTGATTTCAGTTTTGTGTTATCCATATGGTAACAGAAAATAAAGCCAAATATAGCAACTTGAGAAAAAAAAATGAAATCAAGAAATTGATTGTATTGATTGTCTCCCCCCAACCAAACTTACAATGAATTGTGCTACCTATCTTTATCTACAAAAGAATCATTTCCTTCTTAGATATGTAACAAAAAATGATGATTCTAATGAACTAAGAAAAGATCAAAAGACCTTAAAATTCAAAAAATATACCAAAGAGCAAATCGCTCTTCTATCTAATTTCTTTTTGGTTCTTCTTTCCCTGTCTGTGTCTCCATGTCATGTATTGTGGTGCCGTGCTGTGCAAGACCAAATACAGTGTTTACCAATCTACCATGGAAGATTTCCAGTGTGTGGGTCTGTGAAAACTTTCTGAACAAAATCTTTCAAACCGTTATCATATACTTCACAGAAACGTCTCGGCCAATCCTCTGGTTCAACCGGTTTGGTCCCAAGCCCAGGAGCCCTGTCCCTTGATCCAACATTCTCCTCGTCCTGCCAATCAGCAACATATGTCGCGACACGTCCGGAGAACTTATCCTTGAACACCTCCCAGACTTGGTATTTGTAGTGGTTGATCAGCATCATACCCTGACCAATGTTCACATATTTCATCCCTTCCTTCAGATGGAAGTGGTGCACCACATTGATGAGGGATGGGTTCAATGCGTCTGGCCTGACAATTGACTTATGGCGCTCAGGTGCAGCCAGCCGGCAGGTGTAGCCTGTTGTAACACCTTTCTTTGGGATCTTAGTCCGGCCTGATGGACCAAAACTATGGCATGCAGTCCTGAGCTCACCGATCCGTGGCTTGACAGAGTAATTTCGGAGGACATCTTGTAGTGTTTGGTTGCCAGGGAAGTGCAGGAACTCATCTATGTCAATGAACCCCACCCACTCACAGCTCTCTCGAGCCCTGAGTGCACAATGTGCAAATCCAGCCTCCTGAGATTTCATCCATGGCCATAAATAGCGTGTCACATTGTACCTGGATGAATCCATGGTGTTGAGGACCTCCTCAATGCCATCGTCGCTGTTGTTGTCATAGATGAACCACCGCTGCACACCAATACGTGAGTGATAGATGATCCATTCCCGCAGGAACCGTGCTTGGTTGCGAAGCATGGTGCAGACACACATTGAGTGTGCCTTTCGTCTCCAATGCTTGTTGTACCGAGGAAGCGGCTCCGGTTGCGCGATTGAGGGGAGTGTAGAGCTTCCCCGGCCCTTAGTCCTGATGGAGACCAACATAGGCTTGTCATCATTGTTTACGCTGTTTTTGCCACCGGTAGTCATCCGGAGGTACCGGCGAATGCGAACTGGTGTCACACACCGGAATATCTCCTGAGCAGCAGAAACCACTGGGGAGGTGACAACAAGCTTTGGCTTCGAAAAGTCTCGGCCAAAGACACACTCGTACCGTGATGGCACACCTAGACGACCCGGACGGAGGTTCATCCCCTTTGCAAACACAACGGTGGAGTTGTCCTTGCTGTCAATAAGTGCAGTGTACACCAGCCGATCCCATTGCAACGGCGCCACCGGAACCGACTGCGCCAGTGAGAGGGACACAGCGACCCTGGATGGTCCGGCGGGACAATGGACGAGGCTGGGTCCATCCGGCAAGGTAGCGACGGACAAGGGCTGGCGACGCAGCTGCGACGAGTTGACAGGGGAGTACAGGCACTCAAATTGCCCCGAAGCCGGCAGCAATGAGCCATCTCTGAGCATCAGGAGAACATGGTCCGGCAAGGCAACCGCGTGCTGGATATGAACAGAAGGCAACACGGCGTCGACGCTGACCATGCCGGCTTGCTGCGCGCCGCGCTCCGACGACACGGCGTTCAGGGTGGCCGACGGCCACGCGGTCTTGAGCACGGGCCGGAAGGATGCTGCATCAGGGGGACAACACGAACATGGGATTAGTTAGCACAGCACATTCCGTCCATAAATTAAAGAGCCAAACGGATTCGGCATGGGTGAATTCAGATTGCATCAACAGAAACGTTCTTCATGTGACCAAGATAAGCCTTTTCTATTCCCAGAATTCACAGTATCAATTCAGTCAAACGGCAGTAGCAGCAACACTAGTTGCAATTTAGTAAACTCGCAAGCCAGCGTAACATTCCGGAAATCGCGAACCACGCAAGAATGGAATGAGAAAAAAAAACACTACAAATTTTGTTGGAACAGTGAGACCCCTCAGATCTGCCACGCGATTTGCAACCCCACAAGAAAGAGAGAACTTTTTCTTCACCACTCCCCAACAGCAAACACTAAACGCATACCAGAAACAAATCTAAATAAACAAAAATGCAAAAGAAACTTTCCCTCAAATCATTCGCGTGAGTCCAATTGAATCGATCCAAACCGCGCCTCCAACCACAAGATTGTCATGGGAGCATGATTCCACTGGCCTACCTAAACCCAACCAAGATCCAATTCAACTCCCCCCCACGCCACGGCGGCAGCCAACCAACTCCGCCGCCGTCCCCAGAAGCGACCAAGGCGGAGGCGAGGGGGAAAAACGAGTCTCACCTCCAATGACGTGCGCGGCGCCGAAGAGCACCGCGCCGGCGAAGAGGAACGCGAAGAACGCCGCGAACAGCCGCCGCTGCGTCCCCGCCGGCGCCCGCTGCCCCCTCGCCCCGAAACTCCCACCTCCCCCTCCTCCGCCACTGCCCTTACTCCCAAGCCTACTCAGCTTCCTCTCCTTCGCCGCCAACGCCATGCCGCGGACGCACGCACCACTGTCTCCAGCAGCTCCCCTCTCGCTCAGATCGATCCACGAGCGCCGGCTAACCCCACGCGCCGCACCATTCACTGCTCCTCCTCGCCGGCGGCGACCACTGGAGCTCTCCCTCTCTCTCTCTCTCTCTCTCTCTCTCTCCTCGGTCGTCTCTCTCCGCCGCGGTTGCTGCCGTAAATGGCGAGGAGGCGGAGGCTCCGAATCCGAAGCGGCGGTGGTTGCCGTTTATACCCGCGCGCACGCCGGTCCACACCTGTCCCCACATGTCGGTGACCCAAATGGCAGGCGCTCCACGCGGCGCGGTGGGTGCCAATGACAGGTGGGTCCCACGGGGACAACCTGTCAGTGAGACTTGTCGCTCTGAGTTTCTGTTTGTATCTTATTAAAAAATAGAATTATTACTTATTTTATTTGTGACTTGCTTTATTATCAAAAGTACTTTAAACGTGACTTATAATTTTTTATATTTGCATTATTTTTTCTAATAAGATGAGTGGTCAAACATTACATAAAAAAAGTCAAAGCGACCATTAATTTAGGACGAAGGTAGTACTAGGCTATGTCCAATGGGGCGCGCGTGTGTGTGACAATGACATGTGGGGACAGGGAGGTGGGGCCGTTGCGTCAGTTGGTTGGGGTGAGGTGGGATGTTGGTGGAAAGTGTTTTTTTTTGGGGCTTGGAACAGCAATTATTGGGGTGCACATGGGGCAAGGTATCCAATTCTGCCTATTGAAGATTAGGGAATTTTATTTAGGGAATAATGTAGGGGGTATTTCTCTTAAGTAACAGGTGTTCTTTCCATTTCCATCTTTCTTTCTTTTCTTTTCATAGAAAATGACAGATTAATGACTAATGAGGAGAACAATGGGAAATGAATACACATTGTTTCACTGGAAAAGGAGGGTTTCAAAGCCTTTGTGTTATATTACTTGTTTAAATATTTTAAACACATCACTAATCCTACAAACTTGGACATAGATAGATCATAAATTACTGGTGATGATTTTTTTTTCTGGAAATTATTTTACTTTCTTATTGCATCAACTTTACCTATCATTTTCATTGTCTTTTTTCTTAAAAGGAAAAACGATAATCAATCAAATATTTGGTTGGCTAATAGCGTTTGAACGATGAAATCTTCCACGCGTTGAAGTTGGTGGTCACCAAAATGTTTGCTTAGGTTAGGACCATCAAGGCCCTACTTGGACAAAATGTTTTGGCACATCCATATTAGCATGTGATACCCTGTTCACTTTTGTCTTTAGAAGTCAAAAGGAAATAGTGGGCTGTGAACTTCGTTGAATCTGAATCACTTGGAAGAATTATACTTACCATATCTCAAAATAGCTTTTCTTTGTCTTGGAAAATATCCTCTTAGACAAATATTTTGCATATCGATGGAATGAAAATTGACTTGTTGCAATTCCTCAGTGATCAACGGTGCAATTATACCCAGTAATTGCAGTCACCTTAGTTGAAGCTGGGATATAGGTTTCAGGGTTGTCATGGATCATCTAACAGTAGCTTATGTAACCAACTTTCAGCACAAATTTTACCATACTACTGTATTTCACACTTGACAGAGTAGTTAACTTGATGGTTTGCAGTAATATTTGTCCTTAGGGTTGATCAAGAAATCCAAAGTTAAAAGAACCCTTACCTCAAAGCAAAGTCAAATGTGGTCCTTTAAAGGGTCCTCACATTAAACCCTGCATTAACCCTTGTTGGAGGTTGGTTAAGGGTAAGTATTAAGTAATTACAACTTGCATTGTATTGTATTATCTTTGTATGAGTGATGATGCCTCAAAACCCTGCAGAATTCCAATGTGGAGCCCTTGCCAAAAGGTTAATAAAAAAAAGGCAATTGTCCTGGTAATACTTTATTAACTGTACTGTTGCTCCTGCAACTAGTTTACCTTTTGTACTCTTACAACACACATGGGGTGTGGGACTTACCGACTTAGTAATCTACTACTTCTCAGCTAATCTGAACTCTGAAGAAGCATATAAATTTTACAGATCCGGATAATCTGATGCTATGCCAGTACTAGGTGTTTGTCAGTGTGTTGGTGTCCGTATTAATTAAATGGCATTGAAATCTCAAGGAAGAACCTACTGGTTTTAATATAGATGCAGATACTAGCAGCTTAGGACATGTGAGAAGTCGAAATGCAGCATACCTTATTCATGAACCATTAAAAGTGTGATTTATAGGAAGCAGAAGTATATCAAATGCAAATGCATACCATGGTATGTTTCTGGTCTGGTCAGAGTTTGTTAGAAAGTGGAACCACTTTCTGCACTTCTTTTTCTGAACATGCACAGCTCATGCTAGAGAACATTGCATGGAGTAGAGGAAGAACTTCAGATTGAAATGGTCTATAAAATGGCAGCTCCATAAGGCTGAAACATTGCAACAGACAGCATATGGTTTTAGCTCTGAAGGTAAGAGTTGTAGGAAACTGAACTCTTTCTTGTCAGTGACAGTTTCAGGAGCTCAGTTTTCTCCAACATCTTATCTTCGGCGCCTTAATCTTTGTAGTGACTATAAATATGTGGAGTGGTAGCTTGGTTAGGTATCACAACCATAATCTTTGGCAGCTGAATTTGAGGTTTGGATGGGACCAAATCTTACTGCAGACTTGCAGAGCAAGACAAGATTTGGTTTCCTCCAATATCTCATGTTCAGTTGTCAGACAGTGAATAGTGGTGCAATTAGTGAGCTTTAACTTATGGGTGGAACAACCTTGGAAGCTGAATGTGAGAGTTGGATGGGGCCAAATCCTGAGCTTCAGATCTTGCCATGGCACAAGATTTGGTTTCCTCCAGTATCTCACCTTCAATTGTCCAAGATGGCCAGATGCAACATAAAATGTGTTTTGTTTATAGCATTTTCTGTTTAGAAATGGGTACAGAGTGGGATTGGAATTAGAGTGGAACAGATGCAGTGTAGGGAAATATGGCTGTCCTGTTATTTCCAATGCTGAGCATTCTGCAGTAATCAAGTTGCTAAACAGATAAATTAGCAGTAGAAGCAATTACATTTCATACCAGTTTTTTTTTTTAAAAAAAAACCTTTCATACTCTTCAATCTTGTATTTCTATGTAAATAACTTTTATTCCTCTTAATACAAAGATACGCTCCTAGCGTATTCTCGAAAAAAAATACTCCTTTTCCACTGAACAAGTAGCATATGCTAATTCTTGATCATCTGCCCACACAAGTATCACATTTTGCTGAAATGTGCAGGCAGCAGCATACAGCAGTTGCCATTTGCTTAACTCTAATTTTTGGTAGCTTAGCTCCATGAAAGATGCACATAAAACTTCCTTCTTTTAGTTAAAGACTAGCTCGCAGCCATCAATTTGAGACAATTTCTCACCGCATACAAGCATAACTCTTTTCCAAATTTTCTGAAGCTAATCAGAGATAAAGCATGGTGCTTTTTCTATTTACAGTTTCAGACTTTCAGCAATCTCACCGTGGAGTCGTGGACTATACACAGTCAATCTCCAAGGATGCCTCAGGCTCTCTTCGCGTGAAGAAAATAAATGGAACTAAAGGAAGGGATGCACGAACCTTGGCTGCAGGAGAGTTAGCTGGAATGGTCGATTGAGGTCGCCGGCGACGTGGAAGATGGAATGCACGCGCGCCGCCTCACCGGCAAGGCTAGGAGGGTCCGCCAGAGCGGCAGAGCCACGAGGTCGATGTTAAATATGTGATCCGAATTAATTTTAGGCTTACAATATATTCGGATTAGTTTTCTAATAGGACTCCATATCTTTTCCTATTAGGTGTCTCTCCTATATATATACTCTTGTAAACTGTAGGGGAAGGGGTGACGTTCCCATTATTATCTCCCTACGTTTGTAATCAACTCCTCAATAGTGATTATTGCCGGTCGATATCCGTGATTTTTTCCCACAAGGGTTTTCCACTTAAAATTTGTGTCTTCATTGTGCATCTATTTTCTTAATAGTCAAGTTGCCTCCGGCCTCCGCACCATGCGTGGTCAGATGTCAGATCAGTAGGGAGACAAAGCTACAGTGTCAGTCACATCAAGCTGATCCTCCTGAATAAATTTGATTTCTGTCATCTACCACTTCCTTTTTTTTAATATATGATGCCATTAACTCTTGTAGTTATGTTTTAGTTATTTTTGACCATTCGTATTACTCAAAAAAATATGTAATTATTATTTATTTTGCTCTGGCTTGATTTATTATTAAAGGTTGTTTAAGCACGACTTATATAAAAATATGTTTGAATTTTTTTAATATGATGAATGGTAAAATGTTTGTCAGAAATTCAATGGCATTCTATATTAAAAAACGAGGAGTATTACATCAAAATTTTCGTTTCTTCTTATTCTATTGGTTATCGATGTGGTGAAGGGAACCTGGAATTGAGATGTGGATTCAGATTTCAGAAGCCCTTTCCTTTCCCCAGTATTCAGTGCTGGTCATGCTAGCTGTTGCTCTGATGTTCCGAATTTCTGATGAGATGTCATACTTTACAGTACCGACTATTTCTGAGTAGATGAAAAACAGTTCAGAACAATAAAAGGTACTTACTACTTGTTTTAATAGAGAATCAAATACTAGCAAGTAGCAACGTAAGACATGTGAGTCAAAATGCAGTATACCCTATTCATGACTCATTAAACTTCTGATTTGTAGGTCCCTTTCAAATAAAAAAAAAATGATTTGTGACAAGCACAAGTGGTCAAATGCAAATGCATACCACAGTGTTTTTCTGGTCTGGTCAGAGTTTGTTAGAAATTGGAATTACTTTAAGAGCCTTTCTTTCTGAACATGCACAACTCATGCTAGAGAACATTGGACGAGTAGATAGAGCAGAAACTTCAGAAGTTCATTTTGAACTGGCCTATAAAATGTCAGCCCCATGAGGATGAAATACTGCAGCTGATAGCATATGTTTTTGCACTGAAGGTAAGAGTTGCAGGAAACTGAACTCTTTCTTTGTCACTTTGTTAGTAACAGTTTCAGGAGTTCAGTTTCCTCCAACATCTTATCTTCGGCGCCTTAATCTGCAGTGACTGTAAATGTGTGGAGTGGTAGCTTAGCTAGGCATCACAAACCATAATCTTTGGCAGTTGAATTTGAGGTTTGGATGGGACCAAATCTTACTGCAGACTTGCAGATTAACGCAAGATTTGGTTTCCTCCAATATCTCATGTTCAGTTGTCAGACAGTGAATAATGGTGCAATTAGTGAGCTGAACGAACAACCTTGGAAGCTGAATGTGAGAGCTGGATGGGACCAAATCTTGAGCTTCAGATCCTGCTATTGCAAAAGATTTGGTTTCCTCCAGTATATCATCTTCACCTTTCCCAGATGCAATATGAAATGTGTTCTGAGGGTTACACCATCACAGATACTTACAGAATTTTCTGTCGAGCTTCTTAAATTAATTAGTTAAATCTTGAAGCTAGTTGGCAACTAGTACAATGCCGGGTTAGAATTAGAGTGGAATCAATTCAATACTCCGCATTCAGATAAATTATCAGCAGTCTGCAGGTGCATTCAACATTTCTACTCTTTCCATTTTAAAAGAAATAGTCGTTTTCCTCCGATTCTTGATCATCTGCCACACACAAATGTCACATTTTGCTGAAACACAGGTTTCTTTCTGTTGAGACCTGCAGACTGCCGTTGCCATTTGCTAATTTAGTTTTTTTTGCAGCTTAATTCCATGAAAATTGCAGATAAAAACCTTTTCTTTTCCATTAAAAACTGAGATCATACTCATCGATTCAAGACAATTGCTCACTGCACAGGAGCATTGCTCATTTAATTTTTTTTTCATACATCCTCTGAAGCAAACACATATACTGAACCAATCAGTGAAAAAGAACCAGTAAAAAAAACTGGGTGTTTTGTGCCTGAAGCACGAACTAAATCAATCAAAGTGTGGTGTGGCAAGTTTAGCCACCAACCAAACAACCCCTAAACAAGGCAGACAAAAATGCAATAATTCCAAATTGACCACCAGTCAGCAACTCTGCATCGATTGATGCAAGCAGGAAGCATTCCTCGTTACAAATTTCTGTATACATCTAGAAAAAGCAAACACATGTACACCCGGGGTACATATTATCATGATAAGACTCGAAGTTATTCATACATAAAAACATTGTATTTCTGCAAAACCATGATCAACAAGCAAACTCTGTTCCTACTTGCTACTCTCTCATGTGCTGCTAACCGTCCTCAACATCAGGGCACTGAGCTCCAGTCTGCACCTTGACCCCTAGCAGGCTAGCACATACATCTCAGAAAAGCAAGGACATAATCTGCCTCCTTTCCTTTGTCCCACGGCGAAGAACAGGTGCTACGATCTCGGAACAGACACAGCTCTGAGCCCTGTTGAAGATTCGAAGTCCATCATCTACCTTGTATATACAAGTCAGCCTGCGAAAATGTTCAGGAGCAAGTAACATGAGGCATGCAGGAATCCATGAGCATTCACATCAGTGATCTAACTAGATCTGGCAAACGAGCTGCTCATACGACGTCAGCATTCAGCAAGCAACGCTGAGGAGCGCTGCTAATGAACTGTAGCCTCTGGAGGAACTGCTGGCTCACTGCTGATAGTTTTTGACGAGGCAATCTCTTCTAGGCGCTTCCATGTGGCCTCACGTTTTGATCTCAACGCGGTTTCTTTTGCTTCATCTTCCTCAAACTTCTTGAGGCACTCCTCAAACAGTACAGGGTCATGATCCATGAATATCTTGCGAACATTAAGACTCAAGCTTTGAACTGCCTGGTTCCAGTGTTCTTTTGTATTTCGTTCTATTGCAGGAAGGATTATGGGCAGTATCACCTTGCTGTTCTGCTTGATCAAGACCTCAATATGGTCGTTGTTCCACAGAAACAGAGCTCGCTCTGCCACCTGCAAAACAAGAAAAAATAAGAATCAATACGCCATTACCTTCTATGACAAACAGGTAGCATGGGGTCACTAGAAAATTAAAAAGCTTAAGTTTCGTTTATCACAAAAACTTAAACACAACACAATTTGATCATCAAGCAAATGATCAAGTAGCTGATGGTCATTCTCAAACGCCAACTAGTAAAATACATATAATATCACACATCCATGGATCAGGATCTCAGTGAAATTTCACCAATATCTTGTCATCTTGGATGGGTCCGAAACAATTGCATACCAGGGGAATTTTTTTTAATTTAAATTGTATATACAAACAAGCCTAGCGGTAGCTCTTACTACTATACAGGGTAAGTTCTGTGGTTCGAGTCCTGTCGATGCCAGCTTCATCTCTTTTTCACATAAAAATTTAAATTTGGTTTCAGTTTTTTTGGCAACATTATGGCAAGAAAAATGATCTCTCCCTAGACCTAATCATCTCAGCCTCCACCGATTTTGTTTGTGAAAACCAACCGTCTCAACCGGTGGTACATCCTAACTTTAGGATATACATCTCCACTTCTCAGAAGAAAGTGAACAGCATACCATAAATCCAAAAAAAGGATGGTATTATCAGCAGACAAAAGAAACTGCATAAACATAACACAGAAGCATGCATGGACACGTTTCTTGAAGTATACATTGTAAATGATCATTTAATATGAGATCCATGTGTTAGTGCAAAACAGCAATTCAAAGGATAAAAATTGTCAGCTACAGTTACATGGAAGGGTAATGTGATAGAATTTTAGTATGGATTCACAAATTGGTATGTACTTTAGTGAGGAGCCCAGGATTCATATAGTAAATACTTTGGGCATTTAACAGCCCTATCTTGTATTGGTCCAAAATTGTGCCAACAGGCTATCTGGCTATCATATAGCAAACATGGTAATAATCAACAGCCCAACTCTATAAAGAATAACCATAATTGGTACGACTTGTGTGCTGAAATACATGTATTGGCTGTTGGAAAGAAATCAACCGTGGAATGTGGATCGCTGAAATGGCCATGCTATCTGTAATATTGGTATTCCATCTGATAGATAATCTAATAAATAGTTTTAAAATGATAAATGCCTATTTCCATATCAACATTGACAAGAACTGAATGCACAAGCATACAACAACTAGCAAAAACAATATTACATGCTTATGGTTTAACTGCCATTCAGTAAAATTCATTTTTACCTGAAAGTGAGAACTATTCAGACAGCGGGCGATCTGACAGAAAAGTGACACCATACATCTCTGAAATTCTGCTGGCTGAGTGGCTTCCAAAACCTCTTCTAACTCGCCCAAAAACATCACCTCCTTAGCACTATTCGTGATGGGCCAGTATTTAAGTAAACCCCTTATAACAGTATCCGCAAGCTTGCAGTCCTTCTCAACAAACTGAGTAACACAATATGACAGTTGTTGATGATACATGCTAACACATTTTGGTTTGTGGAGTGGAATCAATGCTCGCACAAGAAACAATTTGTGCTCTTCCTTGAGTGGCAAAGCAAAACCATTGATTATACTCCCCAAAATCTCTAATAGCTCAGCAATCCCGTTATGCTTTTCTGTCTCAAATATGAACCTGTAGAAGATATTATTAATCGCCTTCCTAATGAATGGACGGTGCACCATGAACTTCCCATATATCCTATGAAGTATTGTCTTCAAATACTCCCTTTCCCTAGGATCCTCCGAGTCAAAGAGATCAAGCAGCTTGATAATGAAACCATGATCGACGTATCTCTTGGCCAGCTTAGCATCGGTCTCAGGAGACTGGACAAACCTTAAGAATAGTTCATACACAATCTGCAAGTGCGGCCAAGCCGGGTCCATGACAGGTTCTTCCTCCTCCATATCAAATGACTCAAGCGGCTTGTTCTCTCTTGGCGCGGGGTTCGGTACCCTGAACAAGTTGGTGGACACCATTTTGATGACCTCCTGCACAGCGGGCTCCGGGAATTTCCCCGTAGCTGAGGTGACATAATCCACGAGCTCCAGCAATGTTTGCCTCTTGATCTCCTTCTCCTTGACATCCTTGGTCGGGTCCGTGAAGTCGAAAACCACATAGCACATGACCACCTTCCGGAGAAACAAGCTGGGCTTCTCTGGCGCCGGCGCATCCCGTAAGCTCGGAAGCGCCTCAAACACGGGCGGCGCCAAGAAACCATTGCTGACACCAGCACCACCATGATGGGCGTTCTTGACGGTGTAATTCTGGCCGGGATTTGTGACCGCGGCTGTATAATTGTTAGGATTGGCGATCCTACTAGACATGGTCAAATCCGTGGTGGTTCTTGCATCAGGCAGCGACGAGCCGACTCCGGCCAAATCCTTCTCCCCGGACTTGCCCGGCTTCTCCTTCTTGGGAAGCCGGCCCAGGATTTGCTTAATCATAACGGATCGTCCAAACAAGCAACTCGATCAAAATTCACGAATCCATCATTCCTCAATCTGATCATCAAATTAATTAAAACGCCGTAAGAAGCAGGGAAACGAATTCACCTCATATATAGCACAAAACAAAAAAAAAAAAACCGCACCTTGCTAGGATCAAATCGACGCCTCCGGAGCCAAATCCGCGATCGAGACGACCCCTAAAACCGCGCCTTTTCCACGAGAAACACAATCAGTGACACCAATAAAAAGAAGAACCGTGCGGAGAGTCAAAAAGGGAAAGGGGGGTAAAGAAAAAGGCAGAAAAATCCCGCCTTTTTTTTCCCGAATTTCCACGCGAATTGGCCCCAGGGGGAAGGGAAAGGCCGCGAATTGGATCGATTCGTGGAGAAAACTATGGGGATTTCGCCGTGGAGGAGGCGTCGCCGGTCGGGTTCTTCCTGCGATGCGAGCACAGTGGGGAGAGAGGCAGTGGGTGGGGCGAAGCCAAAATGGGAGAGAAAACTAAAAAGCAGAGGAGGAGATGATGGATAGAGAGAGAGAGAGAGAGAGGAAAATATAATCTTTTTGTTTTTTGTTTTTGGACCTAATCCAAAATGGATAGCTTCGTTTTGGTCCTAAATATTCTGGTGCACATTTTGTGTTGCACCCAGTGAAGTGCAATTTCAGTCTTGTGTGGACTGTAACTTTCAGTGGCAGCACAAAAACATTTTTATTTTTTCATGGGGATGCTTTTCTTTTTCTTTTTTCCGTTTTTACATGTGTTTTAGTACTTATGTATGATAATCCCTCCATTCTAAAATATATAGTAATTTATGATCGGATTGGACATATCCTAGTATAACGGGACATACCCTTGTCCAGATTCGTTGATTAAGATGCGACTAATTCGATACTAGTTTTTATATTTTGAAACAGAAGAGTAGATTTATGAAGATTGATTGTTCTACCATTCATAGCGACATTCTCCTAGATTCAATGAAACTAGATTGCCATGTCATCAGGGGCATGTGATGGTTGTCTCAAAAATCAATTTCATGTTAGTTAAGATGGTCTAATAACTGTTTCTGTACTATTTAGCAGATATCTGAACTTTTTTCCTATTGATAAAGATTACCTAAGAACATAACTACCCCCAAGAAAAGAAAAACATAGGATTCGGTAACATACCCTTTTTTTTTCTCACGCTA